ATCTTATATGGGGGTGGTTCATGATGCCCCAAAGCATTTACAAAAGTAACATCAAAGATCACTAATCACAGATCACCATAACAGATTTAATAATAATGAATAAGTTTTAAATATTGGAAGAATTACAAAAATGAGACACAGAGACATGATATGAGCACATGCTGTTGGAAAAATGATGCCAATAGATTTGCTCAATGCAGGGTTGCCACAAACCTTCAATTTGTAAAAAAAAAAAAAAAGCAACAAAATTATCTTCAAAGTACAATAAAGCCAAGTGCAATAAAATGAAGTGTGCCTGTATTGGGATAAACACTGTGTCAAAGATCCCAGGTTGGAACATAGGTTTGGCCTCACTTTTTCCCATCTATAAAATGGGCTAAGGTAGGAAAGAGTCTGCACTAGGTGATTCCTAAGATCCCTTCCAGCTCTAAATCTGTGATCTTAATACTGAGTCTTGTGTGGAAGGAACTTAAGGGAAAACTAATCAGTAAAGAAAAATGGGAAATTCTATTTTTCCTATATAGCTCCATCTCCAGGAATCTTGTGTGTATTGTTTACCAGGACAAGATGGTCATTGAATTAAGTTTCCCTTACACCAAGTGATGCCAAGTGACAAAGGACAACTGGTGCTCTGTGAGGTAAGAGTGACTTCAGATCCCCTGCCTAGCTTGGGACCACTGGCCTCAGGTCTAGCTCTTGGTGTCTGGGGAAGACCTCAGGATATACATAGTTCTCTCAGGAGGATCTTTATTTCTCTAAAGAGACAAATTTGGGATTTTCTAACTCTGGTTTTTTTTTGGGGGGGGCGGGGATTTATCCTTTTAATCTCCACCATTTAGGGAAGCTCTTGAGCTTCCAAGATCACTAGGGATTGGACTTGCATAGCGTCCTGATCTTGGGACATTTGATATAACTTGGTTTCTATCCTTCTTGTAGTTTTAACTGGTGAGAGGCAACTTTGGGATGGGGCAGGTAGGCCTGTGTGGGTCACCAGAATGTGGGTCACCTGAGAAGAAGGGGTGAAGAAGAGAGTTCTAGGTGATTGAAGCTAGTGGTTCTCAGCTCTTCTTTTATGATGCTTCATTATGTTTCTAATTTTTAAGAGACTGATATAAAATCTTTCACACTCTCAAAATAAGATTTATTTTATTGACCTAAGACTACAGAACCAGAAAACTCTTTTTTTTTTAGAGCAGCAGTGTGTCTAAAACTGTGGTACTATTTTATCAAAATTAATTAGAGCTGTTTTGTGGATTCCATTCTTGTTTAAGGAAGCTCCATGTGAGATCACTGGGCGATCCTTGAAATTCCATCCTAAGAGTTTCACTCTTTTAGCTTATGATTTTGATTTCTGCTAAAATGTCCTGAGAAGGATATGTCTTATTCATCTCCCAGCTGATCTTACTTCATGTAAATAAGGTGGTTTTTTTTTTAAAGTCCCTTTGTTTAGAGTAGTTTTTAATAAAGAGTGTAACGATTGTGCTTTGGAGTTGGAGGAGAAGGTAGGTGGGGAATGGAGAAATGTGAGGACCCAGAAGGCAATGACTGAGTAGGAGGTAAGTTCAACAGATTTTCTGGGTGAAAGCTTCAAAAATAGGAAGTCATTTGACTAATGTCCTTTTTAAGGAGTCATTAGAACCTAGAATACTTTACACTTTCTTATTAACATTATTTTCTCAAGGAAATACTTCAGAGGACCGATGGGAAAAAGACGGAGGTTATTTCCAAAAGGTGAGAACTTTATTTTTCAAATGGACCACTGTCTGTGATAATCATTTACGTGACTGTGACCACCATCATTCTCAGCTAGCTTGGCACAGGAAAGGAATGAACTGGTCTGGAAATCTGAAGAATTAGGTTCTAGTCCTTCCTGTGTCACTTCTCAGCCATGTAACCTTGGGCAAGTAAGTTTGATGCTCTTCACCTTAATTTCCCAGGTTTGATTCTTGTCTTCACCACTTTTACTAGTTACATGACCCTTTCCAAGTACAAATTAACACTTGGAATCTATTTTTCTCATCTGTCAAATGGGAATGATCCTATTTGTCTTCTATGCCTTGACTCTTCCATGAATCCAAAGGAACAGCTGTACACATGGGCACTTTTATATGTGAAACCTTCAAGGTTCCATTTAAATGCAAGGTGAAGATGTGATTCGATCTTGACCACTCTTTCCACTATTAGACACCGCAGGGTTGTAGTAAATTTAGCACTGGAAAAGGACGTCAACATCCAGTCCCTTCATTTTATAGTTGAGGAAACTGAGGCTGAGAGGGATTAAATGACTTTCTCAGGGCTGCACAAGTAGTAGGTAACAGAGACAGGATTTGAATCAGGTAGTCCAGACTCCAAGTCTCTTACTCTATCCACTTTCCCAGGCTGCTTCTCAAGATGCTGCATATACCTTAGTATATCTTAGCCCTTCCCATTCATTCTTGCTGTGTAGTATTTTCTTTAGCCTTACTCAAATGGTTTTTCCTTTTTCTTTAGCATCCTTGGTGCAGGCCCCTCCCACAAACTTCCATAACCAGAGCAACTCGGTGCTGTTGCCATGTCTACCTCATCGGATAGCACCACCATGGGAACCAGAACACCTTCCCAGAACTGAGAGTATGATCAGCCTCAAAGACCAGCCCAGCTCCATCCAATTACCACTTCATTCCTCTCACAGTACTATACCTATGCCTGCATCCTTACTTTGGCATAAGTGCCAAACCACAAATACCGGGCAGTTGCCTTATCTAGAACACCAAGGAATGATGAGCTCATTTCTACCTAAGAAATACCACGCCAGTGCCTTTGGGTTAACCTTCCCTTCCCTTGACTTTAGGACAAAAGCAACTGTTGAACACCCAACATCCTCTAAGCAGTTTGTTATGCCTTCTCTTGTGCCCGTCCACCAATCAAAGACTTCAGTAAAACTGAAGAACCATCATGGGGCTACTTCAGGCACTGACCCACTCCCAAAGATCTCACCAGGCCATGACCATCAGAGTAAGCAGAAGTTACCATGCCTCAAACATCAGCCCCAACCTCTGGCATCCTCTAACCATCGGGTTACAGCAGCTCAACCATCCATAAAACGGAAGAGATCCAAGACTATGAATGAACCCTCAGTGCCTCCCCACTCCCAGACAAGTTCCTCAACAGTGCCAACAAGCAAGAGTCACACAGCAGAAGTTCATCAGAGTTCTAGATGCCAGCTCAAGATTGCAACTGCCCCGTTAGGAGGATTGGACCTCTGGCCCAAGGATGTTATTATAGAGCCACCTAGTCCTGAAGACCATTCCAACACCACAGATTCAGAAAAAACATCAGACCAACTCCACCCTGACATGCCCCCAAAACCCCTCCCATTTTTAAAATTCCTGAGTTCAAAGAAAGAATGACCTATGCTCAAACCCTCAGAAACAATTATACTTTCTCTAACCTTTAACAGTAAGCCCAGAGACAAGCCCGCACCTTCATCATTTGCCAAATTTATCAGTAGAGGCAGAAATACACATGTACCATGGCCCCAAAAAAAGAATACATCACCAGGTCCCAACCACCAGACCAGGCTAAATGCTAGACCATCACCAGACTGGCCCTGGGCCAGAACAAAATCTGTTCCTTCTCTCCCTCTGAAAATCTGGGAGACCTCCATGCCCCAGACCATGGTTACATGGCCTGATCACGTAGCTGAGGCTTCACCAGGCCCTGATTACAAGGTGAAGGACACATTTGGGCCATCACTACATCCTGTCCGCCCAGTTATAATACCTTTACCAGGACGTAATCAGAGTGGTGAGATTCCACCAGGCCTAAATGATCAGGCCACGGATACCTGGGGACTGTATTATTGGTTTGAGGTTTCCAGGGGCCAAGGACATCAAGATTCAAGCTCAATGAGCCAGAGCAGTAAGTGTGAGGCAGCATCTGTCTCTAAAACACCAGCTGTAACAGTACTGTCCCTCTTAACAGAGTCCACACCTAGTCCTAGGTAGTTGGATAAGTCCTCATTAATAGCTAGTGATCATAGGTCCAGGGATCCATTTGGTCTTGACCAGCATATTAAAGATCCAATACATCCTCATAACTGGATCCCTCCATCAATCTTCTCTGAACAACCAGCTGAGTCTATTATTGGTCTAGACTTCCATGCATTGTTGGAACTGGACAATCAATCAACACATAAACTAAAACCTGATTCTCAGGTCCTATCTCAACCCAAGCCAAATGACCAGGCCGTATCTCCACCCATCCTGGACCACCAGTCTGAGCCTGCCCCAGATGACAAGGCCTGGGTCACACTTCCCTCTGACTCAGGCCTTTGGGGTAAGATGTCATTGAGGCCAGATGACCAAGTCTCACATCTGACTACCACTAACAAACTGGCTGAGGTTGAATCAAAGTCCATCACCACCCAGGACTTACCACCCATAGATCTGGAGGATCCAATTATACAGACTTCACCTCTATTCAACCCCAAAGAGAGTGTTACTCCTTCATCTGCTCCCAGTGACCAAAAGGATACTCCAACAGGCAATGGCTTCCACCAGGCAAAGGAGGCATTGACCTTTGAGGCTCAGTCTGGGCTCCAATATCAGAACCCGGTTGTACAGAACAAAGAAATCCCATGGCATCTGAAGTACATCAAACCACACACCATTGAGGGAGGCACATTGTCTGCTGAAACTGTAAATGCCATCATCAGTTCTATCCCTGAGAAGAAAATAAAAAGTGACATGTGTAAGCAGATTCTCTTGCAGCGGATGAAGGAAAGTCCCCCTAAGAGGCCTGGTCAACGTATGTCATTAAGATATACAGTCTGCTTAGAATGTGCCTCCTGGATCCCAAATGGCTGTCCTCGTGTTAAGGTAATGAACCATCTTTATGAAACAGTGTTGTTGGCCATACCTATGCCTCTGCTTCTGAAGAGATGGGTGTGAAATTTGTCCTCCGAGTGCCCCAGAAAAAACCCTTATCTTTTTTCAGTATGTTATTCCCTGAGTATGGGAATGTGTTGGCCATCACGCTGTTCATCAGATTCACCATTGTCCTCAGACACTGAGCCCTATGGATGCCCCAAAGTCACCTGGCTTCACCCTTCATCCTCATCCTCAGAGACTGAGCCCTGTCAACGTCCCCAAGTCACCTTGTTTGACTTGATTCTTGGTGAAGATTGGCAGCCATCAGAGAAAAAATCATCTAGACATCAACTGCCAGACATAGATGAGATGCTCACGGAAAGTAAAGATGATGCAAAGGAGAAGTTGAGGCTACTTGCAAAGGGTTTCAAATCTCTGCTTGAGAAATTTGAAAAGCAAATGAAAAATTGTTAACAATCTTTTTCCTTGAAAGTGATTGTCCCCTTGTGTGCCTTTGAAACCTATGTCTGACTTTGTGTCTCATTTATATTTTATGTAGTTAAACAGAGAGATATTGAGCCTGTCTTTCTATTCATGACATAGGCCACCAGGAGCTACTTCCTGGGCATGCAGAGGGATGGCACTCCATGTTCTCTCGGCTCCCTCTAATAACCATGTTCTAGCTTTCAGTTAGATTGCATTCAGACTGAAGAGAGCTACAGGGGACAGAAAAGCCATGCTCTCTACTTTCCTTTCCTCCTCCACCTTCCCTATAAGGTTCAATAAAGGGAACACCCCTCCCCCTCCAAGGTATCCATTCACTTCTTTATTATGACCCTTTCTTCCCCCAAACCCACTCATAATACTCATCATTCCATATTTTAGTATTTCATAAAATCCATGATATCATCACTGTTAGCATTTCCTCAAACAGCACAATTACAAATTGGTAAACTTTAATGGTGGCTGGTTCTCATTGCCTTCTATTTAGGTGAGAAAAACAACAACAATCCAAAACTGTCTTCTGGCTTAGAACTTTCTGGTGATGAAGCTCTCCAGACACTGAGGAGCTCTTCTCGACATACTCCACATCTCTGGGTAAATACTTAAAATCTTTCTAGCCTGGTATAGGTTCTGCCATATCGGACACAGTCTCTGAGAACCCCATGCTCATCTCTACTGTATAATGAAATAAAAGAGTTGGGCTTAGTGGAAGTGTTTTAAATGGGAAGTAGAAAATAGAGAGGAATCTTTATTGTTGTATGGATCCTTATTGATGAACCTTACTGGTTTCTCTCCAAAATGGTGATACAGCTACTTCCTTCTCAGACCTGGTACCATTAATTCTTATTACATAGAGAAAACCTGTCTACTTCATGAGATGCTACTTCCTATCTACCTGCAGACCATTAAAAGTTTAGTCTATAACTTCCTTTTAGGATTCTGAAGTCATCTGTAATTGATAGAGTACAACCTAAAAACAATTCTTTCTTACCAAACATGAAACACCTCTTAGCTACAGTGTCTAAATGGTTTTCTGAATGGTTTACAGGATGAAGCTAGAGGTTTTCAGATTTAAATGTGTCATTCCTCCTACTTCCTCATCCCCAGGAGAAATCCAGCCAAATAAGCAGCAGCTGGGAAAATATGGGAATCTTCAATGATTATGGTCCCAGAACACATAGAGGTTCTCTGCCATCTGGATCTTTGTTTCCCTAAGATATGTGAAATTTGTTTTCATGGACACTTACCCATCACAGAATAAGCAGTGGTGATTTCAAGATTTTGGCTGAGAGCAGGACCAAAACAAACCTACTCTTGAGCAGCTAGCAGAGTAGTAAAACTAGATGGGTGAGTAGGGAAGGAGGTGATTGTGACTCAGGCAGATGACAATCAGAGAACAGGTCTGTGCAGAGATGGGGGAAATTATTCATCCCCTGCCTCATATAACAGAGCTCCTTTAGTAAAAATGGCAATACCCTCTACATAAATTAATGCTTACCTTGTATGGTTTGCTCTGAATGGCTTTTATGTGAATTTGATTAAGGTGAATTTTACTTAAATGTCATTTTAAAAATATTTGTGTTGCGTTCTCTTGTATTTGTTCAAAGTCAGAAAGACATGTGAAATGCGACCTCAAATGAAGGATGTGACAGTTGTAGAGGGTAGGGACTTCTGGGAAAACCTTGAGTCTTCAAGGATCAAAGATGAGAATAGTAGGGATTTGGGGGCTGGAGAAGTAGCATCATCCTGGACTAAATTCGGTGTCCTGATTTACTTACTTTTTTGGTCTGTGTTTAGTTGTTTTGCTTTTCTAACTGATGACTTGAACTGTTCATGTTAAACAGATCTTAGAGATGGATTCCTGTGGCTAGAGATGCAATGGTTAAAGACCTAGCTAAGAACAGGGGTTCAAGTCCCACTTCTGGCACATACTGACTGTGTAACGTGTGCAAGTCATTTAACTTGACAATTCTCTAAGGCTATAAATTGCAGAAAAGGTATAAATCTGCACTGGTAGAATTGGCTTTCTCACTCAAGAGTTCCCTATACCAATGAAATCATGTGTATGTATAGATGTGTGTGTGTGTGTGTGTGTGTGTGTGTGTGTGTGTGTGTGCCTGTTCTCCACCATTAGGCCAAGAGAACAGCTCCACCATCATTGGTCTAGAGCCACAGCTGATCTTTTGTTGTTCTTGATAGAGGCTGCTTTCTGGCTATTTTCCATGGTTCTGTTCACTCAGTTCAGATCCCATTGCACATTTATAAAGCTAAGAGACATAACTACATCCTAACTACCAAGAGATTCAGAGGATTCTGAACCCTTCCCCAAGTCAAATAATGTCATTAGGCATGATTTTATTGAGTACTAATCACAGGGAATTGGTCTTATATCACCTTAAAATTAAGGTCACATTTTAATCATATCACATTCATCATGCCACCATGATAAAGTCAAAACTCACTGGATATTGTCCCCCATCCAACAGGATGAGTCAAATTTCCCCCATCATTGACCACTGTGCCAAAGCTACATTGAGTTCCAAGCCTTGAACTGAAGACCCTTTTCCCCTGAGCATAGGACCAATGTTTCATTGGGACTTGACCATCAACCATAACTCCACCAGAATTGGACTTCTGGTCAGAGATTGTACCTAGACCCAGCCTCCAGAATTAGTCTGCACCAAATCTCAAGTGAAGAAGAAAACATTCATTGAACTTAGACTATGGAATGAAATACCCAGTAAACTTCTGCCTCTAGGGATAAAACACCATTCCCTGCTTCCCACCTCCCTCAACTGAATAAATCTTAAAACATTGGGTTGAGGGCTTGTTAAGTTTTTCCCTCGGTCTTGTGCAATTTGAACCAGGAACTAAATTTGCTAACTAGAGGTCTGGTCCTAGATGACAATGGCCAGTTGGTACACAGAGATGACCTTGGATTCCTTATCTTTTTTTTTTTAGCCAAAGACAAGGTTTATCAAACATCCATCATATTGGACAGACTCTTAAGGAGTCTGAATGTTAGTGAGCTATTGGCTAGATTTTAAGAATCTGAGCAATGGTTGGATTATAAGAATCTAAGCACCTTAATGGAGACAGGATGGACCTTATATACAGAAAGACTGTTGGAGGGATCTAGGAGTGGCCAAGTAGTTTGGGATGTCTGAAGGAGGGGTCTAAGGAGGATCTGGATGGGAGTGGCCAGTAAACTGGAGTGAACAGAAGTCCTGGGACCTGGATCAAGTGGCTAAGGGAGAATGGAGCCTAGCTAGGATTAAGGGTGGGAAATGGCTGGGGGCAATAGGAAGGTAAGACAATGGAGGTGTAGGCTAGGTTAAGGGTAACAGAATTGGGAGACTGGGAGTAGCCACAGTGAAAGGCCAGTTGATGGGATTATAGTCTCAGGCAAAAGTCAGAGATTTGGCCATGTGGGAAAGTCCAAGGTTTTTCCTTTCTGGGGCCCAGATCCCAACCCCATCATTCCCCCCTCAAACAAATAGGACCCAAATTCTTTTGGGGTAAGGGGCGAAGGTCTCAGCTTCTGAAACTGCTTCCTGCTGGCAAGGGGCGTAGAGCTGTCCCTGCCTCGAGGGGGTCCCAAAGAGGAGGTTGACTGAAACTGAGCACAGGTTGCACCCAGGGAACAATGGGGGGACATTGGCTGGTACTCGCTGTTTGCCACCAACTGTAGGTGAGTGGCCTGTAGTCTGGAAGACACAAGTCTGACAGAAAAGACTGCAGGGCCCAGATATAAAGCAGGAACTAGATTTAGGGCCCAACTTTGAGAGGATAAAACATCCTTAGCTCTGTTTGGATTCCATGGTTTTCCACTCATGCAGTATCAAATCAGCCTCATAGCTAGACTCAGGAATAGCCAGGTAGGTAACATTCCCTTTCAAAGGAACATAATGGGGAAACTGAGCCAGGAGGATCCCACCTTAGACTGAGGCTAAAATTGTCCTCTCAGCTTTTCCCGATGCTGACTTCCCACCGGCATCACCTTCTCTGAGTAGCTTGTGGCATTTCTCTCAGATGGTGGATTATTGATTATTGATGGATTATGGCCCATCAGACAACTCAAAATAAAATCCTATGAGCTTTTGCCTCAAACAGCAAGTTTCACTAATCACAGTTTAGGAAAAACTTTTCCAGGATTTACATCTCAAATTTAAATTTGTCCTGGTATAAAAAGCCAATCATTAGAGATTTCTATATACTTGCAAATTCTCAGCAAGTCATAACCCAAACAAGCTTTTCAACTGGTTTACACATTAAAACAATAACCAACAATAGTCAAACTATTTTAGTGGTAACCAAATTATGAAAAGTTGCTTGACATAACTGTTACAAAAAGTTCACCAATTTAAAACTTGAAACAAATCCATTACCAATCAGGTGACTTCAGTTTTGTCAAAAGCGTTTCCAAATTACTTTACACAGAGAATCAATATCTCATCATTAACGGTTAAAACTAGGATTTTAAAAACAGCATGCTTACCCAAGTTTGGAGGCTAGCTTCATTACCTTGAGCAGGATGTGCTGAACCTGGGTGATGCTTCCAGGCAAAGGTTGCCCCAGGACCCAAGGCCATTGCCAGTGGGGCCCATACTGTAGCTGCTGCCCCTCCCCACTCCTTCCTTTCCCAGGTGGGGGAAGGTAGAATCAAAGGTGAGGGGTAAAGGATGAAACTCTCTTCTCCAGATATCCTTTTGATTTCTCTAGGGAAAGGAATGGGAGAAAAGAGTGACCAGGGTTGTAAGGAGGAGTTTCAAAACTCCTTAATGATCAATCACAAAACCTCTAGAATCTGCCAAGATATTTTTAGTTGTTCTAACTTTTCCCTGTAACCTCCATGAAGGAGGATTCAGAGGTATAGAG